ACACACACACACTCTCTCACACACACACACACACACACACACATCGGTGTAGAAACACAGGAAATGTGATTTAGCATCTCTGCTGTAGCTTCATCTGAACTGAATGTTTTAATTGTTTGGTTCATGTCAGTCTTTCGCCGCTGCATCTTTTCGAACGCAACAGCACATTCTGCACATTCTGAACTAGAATAAAATAAATAAATTAATAATTAATGCATTAAAATAAAAATAATTAATTGAAAAAAAATTTATATATTTAAAATATATATTTTTAAATTATTTTATTTCAGGTATTTTTATTTTCATATATTTAAGCTGAAGTATTAAAATAATTCAAAATAAACATAAACACACATTTTTTTTTACATTTAATTACATTTTAATTTTAAACGTTATAGACTAAAACGTGAACCTTAAATTAAAATAAAAACTACAAATTAAAAAAATTAATAAAAAAACAGAAAATACAAAAATAAAAACTATTGCTCTCAAAGGTACTAAAATAACATTTGTGTGAGCGGCCCCAAGTCTTTAAAATGTATTTGTTTGCCAAGATTTTCAGGTTTGCAACACTTACTCTCTGAAGCATCGGCCCAAAGCAGCACAAGAACATAAAACAGAACAGAAGTCATCAGCATTAGAAGCCGAAACAAACATAAGCATTATTTCATGAAACTGTGAATGGATGAAGATGATGAAAGGTCACCTTGCTGTGAGGATCTGCAAACATCCGGGTGAAGATCTCACACAGTCTCTTCAGCTCCACACGACTGAAACACACAGCTTTACATCTGTATTACAATTCAGATTTCTAATGCACTTTTTAAGACACAATCATATTAACTGCAAATGGTATTATCATCAGAAATCTTCTACAAAAAAAAAGCAATTTAATGTCAAACTAAATTATACTAAACATATATATAAATTAAAATGATCACACTAAATAATTAAGAAGGTGCACAGATATAGAAATTTGGACTGATATTAGTAATTACATTTGTTTTTTTAAATAAACTTATTTTAATAAAATTAAAATATTGAAATAAATATATCTCTATATATTTTTTTCTATTCTTAGTAACCAGTGTAGTTAATGCCGCATGTACCTGAGGACTCTTGGTAATTTATTTATTAATAAAACATTTTAGTAAAATTAAAACAATTTATATTTTTATAAAATTGAAATAATCAAACTAAATAATTATGAAGGTGCACAGATTTAGAGATGTGGACTGATATTAGTAATTTAATTTTTAAATGAAATAATTTATTCAAATTAAAATATGTAAATAAATATACATAATTTTTATTTTGTAGTAACCAGTGTAGTCGATGCCGAATGACTCTTCATACATTTTGTTTAATAAAATAAAAAGAATATAGATTATCAAAATGTAAATTATCAAACTAAATAATTAAGAAGGTGCACAGATATAAATATTTGGGCTGATATTAGTAATTTATTTTCTTAAAATTATGACTTTTTTTTTTTTATAAAATATTTATAGAAATATATAAAATTATTATTCTTATAATTATTATTTTTTATTTCTCAGTAAGCGGTGCAGTTGGTGGCCCTTTCTGGTGCAGTCGTGGCCTAATGGTTAGAGAGTCAGACTTGCAACCCGAAGGTTGCGGGTTCGAGTCTCAGGGCCGGTGGGGGAGTGAATAACCAGTGCTCTCTCCACCTTCAATACCACGACCGAGGTGAGATGCTGGAGCTTAAAGGTTAAATGCAGAGCGCATCTCTTTAAGGTCACTTACCTGAGCACTCTTTGGCTCTTCAGGAGGTTCTGGAGTCCCAGCAGCCCTTCTTTCCTCTCGGAGCAGTTGGAGCTGGCGCAGTGGTTCAGGATCTCGGCCATGTCCTCCGTCTGACGCAGGTAATGTGGAGCGGCACTGTTACGGGAGCTGAAGGAGCGTTCGGAGCAGGCGCTGGATGCGTCGCTGTTTGCGTCGTCATCTGAGTACATGCTGGGAGATTCGTACCGCCGCCGCATCGGCCTCCGCTGCAGCACAAAGATGACTTACAAACACTACATATACACTAACAAGTGAAGAGTACGATTTGTAATGTTTTTAAAGAAGTCTCTTCTGCTCACCAAGCATGCATTTATTTAATCCAAAATGTAGTAATATTGTGAAATATTTTTGCTATTTAAAATAACTGCTTTCTATGTGAATATCTGTTAAAATGTAATTTATTTCTGTGATTTCAAAGCTGAATTTTCAGCATCATTCCTCCAGTCGCATGATCCTTCAGAAAGCATTCTAATATGCTGATTTGCTGTTTAAGAAACATGTATTATTATTATCAATATTTAAAACAGTTGAGCACATTTTTACAAAAACATTGTTACAAAAGACTATTTCAGATAAATGCTTTTCTTCTGAACATTCTATTCATCAAAGAAACCTGAAAAATTCTACTCCGCTGTTTTCAACATCATAATAATAATAAATGTTTTTTGAGCAGCAAATCAGAATATTAGAATGATTTCTGAGGATCATGTGACTGGAGGTAAAAATTACATTTTAAAATATATTCAAATAGAATTCAGTTATTTTAAATAGTAAAAATATTTCTAAATTGTACTGTTTTCACTGTACTTTGGATCAAATAAATGCACTGCAGGCTTGGTGAGAAGATAATTCAAAAATGAAAAAAACATTAAAAATCTTACTGTTCAAAAACTTTTGACTGCTAGAGTACATCTGTGAAATATTACTAAGATTACGCCACGATGCATGCAGCTAAAACCTAAAGGAACGAACACTGATTAGACAGAAAAGAGACATGCAAAGGATTGACGGTCATGGATGTTTTTGAACAATTACATGCATGTGAATGTAAGTGAATACAGCTGAATCCCATGGCCAGAACAAAAGCCATCTCAAAATCAAAAGGAAAAAAATAAAAAAGTATACACTATCATTGAAATATTTGGGGTCAGTAATTTTTTTTGTTCATAGAAATTATTAATATTATTTTTTATAAGTTAATAAATAATATTACTAATGAATAAATGATTATTATTTATCAACAGTGACAGTAAAGACGTTTATGATGTTACAAAAGATTTCTATTTCACATAAATGCTGTTCTTTTGAA